TTCTGTACCCATTAAGAATTCATACCTGGGAAGAAATTGGAGAGGGAGGGGCGCCTGGGTGGCTCAGTCGTTAAGCGTCTGCCTTCGGCTCAGCTCATGGTCCCAGGGTCCTGGGATCAAGCCCCTCATCAGGCTCCCTGCTCCGCGGGAAGCCTGCTTCTCCCTCTCCCACTCCCCCTGCTTGTGTTCCCTCTCTCGCTGTGTCTCTCTCTGTCAAATAAATAAATAATAATAATTATAATAAAAATCTTTAAAAAAAATTTAAAAAGAAATCAGAGAGGGAGACAAACCATGAGAGACTCTGGACTCTGGGAAACAAACTGAGGGTTGCAGAGGGGAGGGGGGGAGGGGGATGGGGTGGTGGTATTAAGGAGGGCACGTGGATGTGATGAGCACTGGGTGTTACACGAAACTGATGAATTGTTGAACACTACATCAAAAACTAATGATGTACTATATGTTGGCTAACTGAACATAAAAAAAAAAAGAATTCATACATGGGGAGCATTTTAAAAGTACATATCCCAAGGCCCCACACCCAAGAGATTGTAATTCAGTGAACATAGAAGTGTTTTCCACAAGATTCCAGGTATCCTGTTCCTAGATATTCTCTTCCCAGAAGAAATGAAAATGTGTGCCCACCAGAGATCTACATATAAATGATTATAGCAGCTTTTACAGTCATTCTAACTTGGGAATAACATAAATATCTCTCAATTGGAGATATAAAAACAAACTGTGATAAATCCTTGTAATGGAATGGTACTCAACAATTCAAAGGAATAAATTTTTGATACAAAAACAAGGATGAGTGGAGCCTGGGTGGCTCAGGCTATTAATTGTCCAACTCTTGATTTCGGCTCAGGTCATGATCTCAGGGTCGTAAGATCGAGCCCTGCATTGGGCTCCATGGTGAGCATGGAGTCTGCTTAAGATTCTCTCTCTTTCTCTGCCCCTCCCCCTGCTCATGTGCACACACTCTCTCAAAAAACAAAACAAAAACAAAAAAAAGGATGAGGGAGCCTGGGTGGCTCAGTCGTTAAGCGTCTGCCTTCGGCTCAGGTCATGATCCCAGGGTCCTGGGATCGAGCCCCGCATCGGGCTCCCTGCTCTGCGGGAAGCCTGCTTCTCCCTCTCCCACTCCCCCTGCTTGTGTTCCTGCTCTCGCTATGTCTCTCTCTGTCAAATAAATAAATAAAATCTTTAAAAAAAAAAAAAAAAAGGATGCATCTTTAGTGCATTATACAAAGTGAAGGAATCCACATTCCATACTGTATTCCATTTATATGACATTCTGGAAAATGCAGATTAGTGGTTTTTTAGAGGTTAAGGGTGGAAAGCAGGTAGTTTTGGGTAAAAAGAGGTAGCACAAGGGAATTTGGGGAGGGATGGTGAAACAGTTTTGTATCTTGACTGTGATGGTGATAATAAGCGTTTGTCCAAATGCATAGAACTTGACATCAAAAAGTGAATTTTACTCTATTTAAAGATTTTTACTTATTTATTTTGAGAGAGAGAGTATGCACGCATGAGAACAGACACACAAGCAGGGGGATAGGCAGGGGCAGACAGAGAGAGAGAAAATTCCAAGCAGTCTCCAGGGCAGAGCACCGAGCCCTATGCAGGGCTCAATCCCACAACCCTGAAATCATGAACTGAGCTGAAACCAAGAGTTGGACGCTTAACCAACTGAGCCACCCAGGCACTCCTTACTTTATTTAAATTTAAAAATAAATTGGAAAACATTTTAAGCCTCCCTGGGTGTTTATGATGTGTAGCCTGTTTGGGAAACGAGTACATAGATAATGCTGGACAACCTAGTTATTCTATAACCCAGTCGAGTTGCACTTTGGACACCGGGGACCAACCAACTTACCATTACTATTTCTCTGGTTATCCTCACAGTATTTGGACAGTTCCACAGACTAGAAGTACAGCAGTAAGTTGCCGTGCCCAAGAGTATGGTATGTATCTGATTGTTGATAGATCACAGGACATGGGCTATGCAGTGGTTTTGTGGCAGTGTTTGCCAAACTAAAATCACCACACCAAATGTGGTGACTTTAGAGCTTTATTTTAAAATATGAGTTATGGGGCGCCTGGGTGGCTCAGTCGTTAAGCGTCTGCCTTCAGCTCGGGTCGTGATCCCAGGGTCCTGGGATCGAGCCCCGCATCGGGCTCCCTGCTGGGCAGGAAGCCTGCTTCTCCCTCTCCCACTCCCCCTGCTTGTGTTCCCTCTCTCGCTGTGTCTCTCTCTGTCAAATAAATAAATAAATAATCTTTAAAAAATAAAAAAATGAAAAAAATTTTTAAAAATATGAGTTATGCTTTATCTCTTAGATTAATTGTAATCAGAATAATATGGAAATCATTTCCAGTAATGGAGATTAGAATGCAACCTATGAATTTTCCAAGAACATCATGTTTCACAACTGAAACATCATATTTAACAAAACATCATGTTTAATAATTTAATTTTATAATCAACCCCAAATCAGAAACCAAAGACAAGTTTTTATATGATAAATCCAACGATCCTAACCAACTCCATTGTAGGTCATTTTGGTTATTTTCCTAAAACTTGATACCTGTTTCACATAAAGGAAAACAATGACAATGACTCTCTCACAGAGTCCTGGATCCCTTTATTTGTGAAAATCTATGGAAAACAAATGAAAATCATGGGCAGATGTTTATGTAGGACACCAGCCCTGTTAGTTGTGAGGCTAGCCTTGTGCTCAATCTCACTTGAAAAAGAAAACACAAACAAAAACCCATATCCTGCTGCGGCTGATCATCTACTCAAACAAGGTGGCTAAAATACAAATAGAAACTCCCAGGTAAAAGAAGAAAAGAAGCAAGAAGTAGGCAATGGTTAGATTCGAAGATAATGCTAATTGCAACTGTGAGACGAAAGGGGGGAAAAACACCACAAAACAAAACATGTAGTGAGATAGATCCTATCTGATGTTTCTATCCCTGTAGAGTATATTTTCTAATTTGCAAATCTCTTTGCTTGCCCTAATCTCTAACTATTTCTAACACTCTTGCTTCCTCATCAGTTTGCAAACCCTAGCTACAGCTCTCTCTGAGGCATTCCGTTCACATTGCTTCTTTTTTTAGAGTTGCTTGTGCCCGAGAGGGAGGAAATGGAGCTACAAGTGTTTCCTTTCCATTCACAACTGGCACTTTCTTGTAGTGGGGGAGGTAGCTGACGGCTAGCAGCTTGCTCCCAGCAGCTTGAGCTAGCACTGAGTTTTCTTTCCTCTAAGCCTCTCTTGAAGTCCTTGTATTATAAATTATTTATAAATTTTATCACAACCTCCAGGAAGCGAGCTGGACCAATTTTCCTGGTGCCAGATGGCTCAGCAGACTTTTCAGATGTTGGTACTCTGTTGGACATCCCAGCTTCTATTGCCCCACACCCCAAAAGTACATCCAGCTAGAAAGCCCATAAAAAGGTCATTATTTCATGTGTTCCCTGCGCAAAACTTCCTCCACAAAGAAGGAGTTTGACCCTTCCCCAAACTGAGAATGGGGAGTGTTCCTTCATCTTTGCCATCTAAGCACCTCTAAGTGGGAAGGAGTATGTACAGATCTGGGCACCTAGCTATAGGCAGGTGTTCAATTATATGTGATCCACATATATATATGACCCATATATATATGATTTAAAATAAAAATAATGTTGGGGAGTTGTACAAATTTGATAGTAAACAATGATTCCTCAGGAAAATTGCCATGTATGCAATATAAATCAGAATTCTTTTGGGTGTAAGTGACAGACCATATGTGAACTAGGTCAGAGAGGGAGAAGGGCATCTATTGGCTCATGTAACCAGGAAGTACAAGGAAAGGAGTGACTCAAGGGCCTGAAACCCCTAGTTCACTTTTCCCCTCTGCCTCTTGCTTCTGCTTTTCTTTTCAAGTGGAGGACAAGGCAGGATTTGGGGACCCACAGTTCAGTCTCACCAGCAAAGAGGAAAGAAAGAATGTAGCATGCATGTGTATACACACACACAGACATTCCGATCATATTTGGAATATTTAGACAGCATATTGGAGCAATGGGGTGGAAAGGACCTCTTCCCCCAAAAGAAGAGGGAGAGCACAGACGTGGTCCCTGTGGAAATTGTTCTGAGCCAGAAATAGATTATTTTTCTCTTGAGGCTTCATATTCTCCAGAATACATTTAGGTCAGTTTAAGAAGCACAGACATATGTCATATGGTATCTCGGACGGCCTCAGACTTGATGGCCTGTGAAGATTTCCCTAGTGAAACACTGTATTTGTTCTCTGATGGGACATTTTGATGGATGGTGAGAGCTTCAGGAATCTGTGGGAGACAAGACAATGAGAAAGAGTTAAAAACCCTTTTTAGAGGGGCGCCTGGGTGGCTCAGTCGTTAGGCGTCTGCCTTCGGCTCAGGTCATGATCCCAGAGTCCTGGGATCGAGCCCCACATCGGGCTCCTTGCTGGGCGGGAAGCCTGCTTCTCCCTCTCCCGCTCCCCCTGCTGTGTTCCCTCTCTCACTGTCTCTCTCTGTCAAATAAATAAAATCTTTAAAAAAAAAAAAAAAAACCCTTTTTAGAAAAAAAAAATTAAGCAGTGTTGGGTTATGGAAAGAGAGAAAAGGATGGAAGGAGCAAAGTGAGAGAGAAAAAAGAGTCAGTGTGAACCTGGGCATTACATTAAAAAATCCCCAATAGTGAAAAAGCCAAGGAATTCCTAAAGTTAGGAGATGTAACATTAAATTTGAAGTTGTTTGTGTTTCTGTGGAATAGATCCTATGACAGAGAAAGATTCGGTGTTCTACAAAATGCCCTTTTCTTCCCGGGCTCGGAACTAGTCCTAAGGACTACATTTCCCAGCCTCCCTTGCAGTTAGGTACAGTCACGTGACTAGTTCTAGCCAATGGAATGTTGGCAGGAGTGATGCCGCCACCCCCAGGCCTGGTTTACACAACTACCACCCTACCCTCCCCCCTCTTCCCTCTCCTGCAGGCTGGCTGCAGAAGGTCAGGTGGAGGGCTCCATGAGCCCCACAGATGTTAGAGCCACCAGATGACCGAAACCTCTGTCTGTGAAGGACTGTATGGATCAGGCCCCTTGCCACCTCCTCAGGACTATGATATGAGTAAGAAAATATCCTTTTGCTATTGTTAAGTTATTGCAGTAGAGGTTTGTTTGTTATAGCAGTTGACTTATCCTGACAAATGCAAACTTCTTCACTGTCCCCTCTCAGATCTTCACAATACATTCAAATGTCCTATGAGAGTGGGAGTTCTGTGGCAGTCATAAGGAGGCTGAGTTTCACATCTGGGTTAGCAGGGCATGGAACAGAAACCACATTTACAGGAAGCAATATATTCCATAATTGAAACCCACTGCAAAAGCAGGAGGCCGAGGCCAGAAGTGACCATGAGAGCATGAACTTCTTGGGAATTTGCAGAAGTGTTTGAGTGGGCTTTGGCTTCTGCAGAGCATGGAATGAGGGAGGTTTTAGGAAGTTACCGAGATCTGAAGGGAATGACATGTGGATTATGTTGTTACTTTTCGCAGTACAGGGTGCTAGGAGTGATAAAAGGTTTTGACTCACATGTCTCAAGGATGGAAACTGAATAATGCTTCTGACCACAAAATCCTGAAATAGTACTTAAATCCCTTGGATGATTGCAGAATTATTTTACTTAGAGAAATCCCTGATAGACAGCTGAGTGGGGTCTGTTTAACTGGCAGTGAAAGGGCAGTCAGAATCTATACTTCCCTGGCTGTCCGACCGAAATTACATTCTCCCCATTTTTGTCTCCCATCGCATACTGTGGTTTTCCCTTAAGGCATTAATTAGGTATTTGTTGTGGCATTTTTTTAAGGTGTGTTTCCCCCGCTAGACTCTAAGCTGCGTGAAGACAAGGACTGTGTCTCTTTCATCCCCCAGTATACACCTGGCATCTGGCATAGTGCCTGGCACACGCTTCATGAATATTTGTTGCAACAAAATGAAATCTGTACCTGTGAGATCCTCAGATAAGCACCAGTTAGCCTCCGAGAATTCACTTCCTAACTTAGGTTTGGCAATCAGATATTTTTTTAGCTGTTTGATAATTTCAAAATGCATTAGTACTTTATGTAAAGAAAAAATGGCCTTTATCATATATGAATATGATAAGAGTTCTCATATGTGAACTTGATAACAGCGATAGCTATGTAGGGTTGTTATTATTATAATTATTGATAACATCTGCTTCTCCCTAGAAAATATGTGAATCCTTTCCCCATGGATTATAGCCTAGTCTGAGTTTCAAACTAAGAGTGTCTCTTTCCCCTCAATCCCGGCAGCACATTGTTAAGTAAATAGCCTTCCTGGCTGAACCTCAGCTGACCTGCCTACTGGAACCTTTTTATCAGAGTTCCAGGAATGATCACTTCTGTTTTTTAAGAACAAGATATTGAAAGAGCATAGTGGTATCCTTTTTTTTTTCTGATGGCTTTGTATAAGTCTGGCAGTTCTACCTCAAATAGTATAGCTTAAACTCATATTTATGCTTTTCCTCACCATTTCCACCCTCCCCCAGCTACTGGAATCCAAAAGTCCAAACTCCTACCCTCATACCTTTTTAGCAGGTTTTAATCATTTTGTGCAAATTTATGTTGAATATATACTTTTCCTTTGTTTGCTTATAAGCTTTTGGGGCAGATTCAGCAAATACCTACCGATTTTCTTTATTCCTTCATTCTGACATTAAGTTCCTAGGATAATTATTGTTTTTTAGAATAGTAGAAAAAAATGAAGAAGAATGTCTTGGTTCCTAACAAAGAAGATGCAGATCTGTGGTTGGAATGGTTAGGATTTAATTCTGAAGTGACACTTGATCAAATGTTCAGCACATAGTTAGCCCTCAGTAAGTATTAGCTTATTGTTAGCTTCTCTCAATGGCTTTCCAGAGCCTAATAGTGAGAAAGATTATAAAGCCACTTCTAAGCTCAGAGGGGAAAAAAAAAAGAGAAATGGAACGTCTTGTTGTGGATCTACAGTCTAATGCCTTAAACTTAAGCAAGCTCAGAATAACTTACTGAGTTGGTAAAGTTCACAGCGAAGCTGAACAGAAGTGAACTTTCGATGACTTTAAACACTGGTAGAGTCTCCAAATGTCATTTACGGCCAGGAGCGGCAGGGTGCAGTCCAGGAGCCCCTAGGCACATGTGGCGATTTGAATTCATTAAAACTAAACTGGAGGGGGAGACAAACCATGAGAGACTATGGACTCTGAGAAACAAACTGAGGGTTCTAGAGGGGAGGGGGGTGGGGGAAGGGGTTAGCCTGGTGATGGGTATTAAAGAGGGCACGTTCTGCATGGAGCACTGGGTGTTATGCACAAACAATGAATCATGGAACACTTCATCTAAAACTAATGATGTAATGTATGGGGATTAACATAGCATAATAAAAAAAAACTAAATGAAATTTGGGGTGCTTGGCTGGCTCAGTAGTAAGAGCATGAGACTCTTGATCTGAGGGTCGTGAGTTTGAGCCCCACATTGGGTGTGGGGATTACTAAAAATAAATAAGTAAACTTTAAAAAAAAAATAAATGAAATTTAAAATACAATTCCTCACATTTTAAGTGCTTGCTAGCCACATGTGCTATTGACTACCCTATTGGATTGCACAGACCTAGAACATTCTCATCATCTCAGAAAGTTCAGTCGGACAGAGATGCTCTCTAGGAATAGTTAGAAAATTGTGCTGATGCTTAACATACATCAACTTATATGTAGCCCACAGTACCAGTATTTTACAAATTTGTTCAATTAGTGTGTACACTTTTTTGTTTTGTTTAGTGTGCACACTTTTTAATCCTTGAAGAATAATATGTTGAATTGTCCCTGTGCTAGCTACTGAATATTTAAAGCAGGCTCTATGATTGACAACACTATGGTTTCACTTGCTGGGGAATAAAGCTCAGAAAGATGAAAATCAAAAGATTAACTCTTATCTTCTTGCAAGTGATAAAAAGAAGTAGTCATCGTAGTTAAGGTCTTTGAGGCTGAGTAGGTGTTTGGGGTTTGGGAGCTAGTCACTACCACATGCACACGAGCAACATCACTATTAAATATTTACCTCACAGTGAGCAGACTGGAACCATTAACTGCCCTTTCTCGTTACAATGTGTGTATAAGTGAATGAGGCTGATAAGCAAGTATTTGTTGAGCTCTTTTTGTGTGCCTAGCTATATGAAAATACTAAGAACTTTTTAAGACACTTACAACTATATGTCTTGCATGAATATACTTTCATCCAAATTTCAGTAATTAGAAAAATTGTGTTCAGCCTATTCTGCTTATTAAGATTTCAAATAATAATAATAGCAGGTAACTTTGTTCAGTACTCATTATGTGCACCGTGCTAGGTACTTTACACACATTCATTTAACCCTGGAAACAACCCTGTAAGGTACTATTATCCTTTTATGAATAAGGCAACAGCATTCAGAGGAATCATCTTGTCTTCTGAGATCACACAGCTGGTCAGAGGCAAGCTGGCGCTTGAATCCAGATGTGTTTGACTCCAGAAACTGGACCTTTGGCTACTGCTGCATGCTATCCTTCCTATACTTAAGACAATTTGCAAAAACTAGGTCTAAAAACAGAAACGCTTCTAGCTAATTCTCAGTTGATCAGAAACGTAAACCAGCCTTCCCTGCCATGCAGTCTGCTCCTTGGGATTGCTTTACATTACAGACCACTGTCGCTTTGATCTTCTCAAGGGCTCATCTCCCTTGACTAAGCTGAGAATGTGCTCCCATGTCTACTGTCTACTTTGGTACCTATACAATATATGTAGGAATAATGAAAACAGTGTTGCCAGATTTAGAAAGAAGAAAAGATACCCAGTCATATATGACTTTCAGATAAACAAAAAATATTTTTTTAGGATAAATATATTTCTTGCAGTATTTATATTTTAACTGGCAACCCTAACTAAAGATAGCAGTAGTTCCATACTAAAGGGATCGGTCACCCTATCATGTGATTTATAAGAAATTTTAACGGGAACATGCTAAGTTAAAGATGGCCACAAATTCTTTGCTTTTCCTCCCACTGAGAAGATCACTTTATTGCCCTCCTTTTGAATCTCGGCTGGCCTTAGCGAGTCCCTTGACAAATAGAATGTGGCGAAGGTTACATTCTGTGATTTCTGAGGCTAGGTCACAAGGAGCCTTGCAGCTGCCACCGGGTCCCTTTGAACACTGTCTAGAAACCCTGAGCCACCAAGTAAGGAATCCAACTATCCTGCACCCACTGTGCTAAAGAGGATACAGGTAGATGCACTGGCTGGCAGTCCCCACGGAGCCCAGACTTCTAGTCAACCCTGTCAAGCCACCTCCTGTAAGCAAAGCCATCCTGGGTCCTCCAGACCAGCCTACCTGACAGGTGAATAGCACCAAGTGACTCACTTGATACCACATAGAGTAGAAGGAACACCTAGCCAAGCCCTGCCCGAATTCCTGACCACAAGATCATGAGCTATAGTAAAACGGGGTTGTTTTAAGCCACTAAATTTGGGGGTCCTTTGTGACATAGCAATAGGTAACCAGAACAGAAGAAAACAAAACTGTTTTATTATTTAATATTTAAGTAATTAAGTGTACAGAATGCTATGAGTAGGGTGTTTTCTCACATTAGTAGGTATAATCTCATTTAAACCAATGCCAAAAGCATACTTAATGGTGAAGCAAAAGAGATCTCTCCATTATCATTGAAAATAAAAGAATGATTACTCTCCAAATTACCATTTAGATTTTCTAGAATTTTAGGCATATTTCAGTGAGCAGCAATACCAAAGTCATTTACTAGTTCAGGGTTCTTTTTTTTTTTTTTTTTTTTTTTAAGATTTTATTTATTTATTTGACAGAGAAAGACAAAGCGAGAGAGGGAACACAAACGGGGAGTGGGAGAGGGAGAAGCAGACTCCCCGCCAAGCAGGGAGCCCGATGCGGGACTTGATCCAGGGACTCCAGGATCATGACCTGAGCCGAAGGCAGTCGCTTAACCAACTGAGCCACCCAGGCGCCCTCGTTCAGGGTTCTGATACCTCTGGTGGCCCAGCCTGTGATCCTCTCGATTCACCTATTAC